ATTTCAGAAATTATTACGCAGATCAAGCTGCAAGCATGGAGGTAAAAATGAACAGAGGTGTGAATTCGACATTCAACACAAACCACCAAACAATTCAGAAACTTTTAGCCTTCGAAAATGAAAACAATTAGCAGTGTGTAAGGGCTGTGTAATTTCCTGTTTGTCCGACGCTTCGTTTTCGTGTCACTGTCGAAATTATTGCTACCTTTTACTTAACAGGGACTAAATGGTCTCTATAAAACGATAATCAGGATCGCAAAAAAGTCAACTCATTTGAAACACTTGCCGGACGTCTCTCTCTTCTGAAATCCGCCTCGGTGATCATGGTCCGGAATCTATTTCTTTCAAAAGTGTTGCGCCAGGTTTATGTTGTCGGCGTTTCTCTTTAAACCTAGTTTTTTTTTTCATGGACGAGGACAGTTTTTCCAAAAAATGAATCGTCCACTGTTGTCGCACCTTCGGATCGATTAGAAACGTGTGAATACTTACACAATGACTATATGTTTCACTGCAACTGCCCACAACACAACATCTAAAAACTCTCTCTCTCAAAAAAAAGAAAAAAAACGCCGACTGAAAAATGTATATCGTTTAAAAGTATACTGAAATGACCAGTATTATTACGGCTCAGGGGTATGACTTCCTCTCACATTTTGGCATTTGGTGGCGCACTTTCGGCGAGAGTCGGAAATCCGGAAACAGTCGACCGTTTCAGAATAGGTTGGCGTGGCTACAACACGAGAAATATCCCAAATTTACTCCACTACCTCTGACACCAGCTCATCCTGTCTCCTTACTAGTTTGTGACCTAGTAACAACACACGCAGGGAATATACCAGGATGTAATTCAAGCAACTCTTCAGTCTTGTCATTAACCACAGGCTTACAAGAAACCACGGGGAGTACACTCACCTTACCCCCAGTCAGGTCATTACCCAGCAGAAAAGTAACGCCCTCTATCGGCAAGGACTTGACCACACCAACAATCACATCTCCAGTGACCAAATCAGACCTCAACTCGACATTATACAAGGGAACAAACTCATAACCACCTCCAATACCCTGAACCAGCACACTGGCATCTGTACTTACATTATCTAAAGGTAATACACCAGCCAACATTAAAGACTGAGCTGCCCCAGTATCTCTGAGTATAACTACAGGCTTACTATCACTAACCTTACCAAGGGATACCTCACCCTTTGACACGAAGTTTTTATACTCTTCAGGTACACCAAGAATTCCACATCTTTTTCCAGGCATCGCTGAACTCCCTAGCACTTTCCTAACAGGGTCTCTAACACTGGCAAATGCTACTGGCTTTCTCCACTGCCTCTCATTCTTCAACTTGAAACACTCTGCCCTCACATGCCCTAGCTTTTTACAATAGTAACAAAGAGGTTTTTCCCATACTCTCTTGTTCTCAGCTGGTTTAGGTGTTACAGACTGACTTTTAGTACTCACCACTAGCCCCACCGTTCAATGCACCATTAGCACCACGGGAACGCCTATTATTCCATCTGGGGGAATAGGACTTTACACTCTTCTTATGGGTTAATTCATAATCATCAGCCACAGCAGCTGCATTTCTAATATTTTCACGTCATGCTCATCAAGGTGGGTTTTAATATCTAGGGGAATGCTATCTTTGAATTCCTCCAACAACACTACCTCCCGCAAAGTACAAAAAAATTTCTCTGCCTGGAGGGACCTATACCATTTATCAAAAATTAGCTCTTTCTCCCTAGCAAACTCAACAAATGTTTGCCCACCGGTACGCTGCAAATGCCTAAATCTCTGTCTATAAGCTTCGGGCACTAATTCATAGGCTGACTGAACTGCAGCTTTGACAAACTCATAATCTGAATACTGCTCATCAAGAGTGGAACATACTTCGCTAGCTTTTCCAGTAAACACGCTATGCAACAACAAGGTCCAATAACGTTCAGGCCATGCAAGTCGTTTGGCAATTTTCTCAAATGCCAAAAAATAGGTATCCACGTCCTACTCTTGAAATCTCGGTAACTAATTTAATTTCCCGAGCCATATCAAATTCCTGAACTTTACCACCACCATACCTAAACCCAAACTCTGACCCACTAGGACCACTTCTATTAAGTTCCTGCTCTAATCTCATCTTTTCCAACTAAAAATTTCTTTCCCTTTCCCTTCTTTCTTTTTCCCTTTCCCTTTCAT